TTTTTATTATGAAGAGTAGTATGTTGTAGTTTCTTTTTTCTTTTTTTTTTTATATTTTAGTCAGCTTTTCTTTATTGGTTCCAGAAGACCTGACAAGAACAAGATAGAGGAGGAAAAGTTTATTTTGACTTACAGTTTCAAGTGTTCAGTCCATGGTTGGCAACTCCATAGCTCTGGGCCCAAGGTGAGACAGAGCATCATGGTGGAAGGGCATGGCAGAGGAAAGCATCTCAGGACAGACAAAAGGAAGCAAAGAGAGCTTTGCTCACCAGAGGAAAAATGTAAACTTCAAAGATATGCCCCCAGTGACTTAGCTCCTCCAGCTGTACCCTACCTGCCCAGAGCTACCTCTAGTTAATCCATACCAGAGAATCAATCCATTATTAAGGTCAAAGGTTTCATAATCTAATCATTTCACCTCTAAAAATCCCTACATTGTCTCAAACATGAGCTTTTGGGGATACTTCAGACCTAAACTATATCAGATGAATTTGAAATTTGCACAGTTGGAGAGAGTTTGAAACAGATTTTTTTCACGGAGGGAAGAAAAGATTTGTTTAAAAATTTATTTGTTTAAATTACATGAAAAAGATATGTTGTAGTTTCTTAAAAGCTGAAAAATTCCAGCAGTCCCTCATTTGGGTGTACATCTAAAGGCAACAAAATTTGTAACATGAAGGGGTACCTGCACCCTCACGTTCATTGGATTATTCACAATAGCCAAGATGTAGAATCAAAGTAAATGTTCATAAGTGGATGTATGGAGAAATAAAATGTGAGATTCATACTCATACTAATACACAGAGAGAGACACACACACAGATACACACACACACACACACAGATACACACACACACACACACACATACACACACACACACACACACGGAATATCATTCAGTCTTACAAAAGGAATTCATGTCATTTTTGACACCATGAATGAATGTGGAGGACAAGATACTAAGTGAAATGTCATGAATAGGAAGTCAAATACTGCATGAATTCATTTACATATGGAATCTAAAAAAAATGAATTCATAGAAGTGCAAAGTAGAATGGTGGTTGCCTGGAGCTGGGAGTGGAGGAAATGGGAAGATATTGGTCAAAATTCAGTTAAGCAGGATGAATAGATTTTAATTTACAACCTGGTGACTATAATTAATAGTAATGTATCATGCATTTGAAGTTTGCTAATGGAGTTGATCTTAAGAGTTCCCACCAGAGGCTCATACAAATTATTATCAATAAGGTGATGGGTATTTCAATTATCTTGGTTATGGAAATCATTTCACAAAGTGTACATATATCAAAATATCATGATGTATACCTTAAATGTACACAATGTCTATTTGTCAAGTATACCTCAATAAAGCTGGAAAATGCAATGCATTTATGTATCCCTCCTAACACTGCATAAACATTAGCAATTTGAACTTGGGGTTTGTATGTCAGAGGGTGTCTTCTGCCTTTTACCAACTTTTCCATTCACTCACCATTTGGGTTTTCCTTTCATCACTCATTAATTCAACAGATATTTATTGAGCATGCATATGAAGCAAGTTTTATGCTAGGATTTAGGGAAACAGAGGTGAAAGTCGCAGCCCTGTCTTCAACATGCTCCCAGTTGAAGGAGGAAAATGCACGGACGTGTAAACAGTGAACTTGAGCAAATATGAAACTATAGAGGAGAAGGCAATTGATTCCACCTGGGGGGTTGGGTATGAAGGATGAGGATCATTAGTTCAAGTCGGAGAACAATATTTACAAGGCAGGGGTCTATGAAGTTTTTGATGGAAGTGGAGGAAAATATGACTGGGTAGGGAGTTGGGGTCAATCACAAAGTGGTCTTTGTACACCAAGTTGGATTTAATGGGAAGTCAGTGGAAATCTTTAGTAGAAGAATGATGTGAGCAGATAGGTTTCAGAGAGAAAGATCTGTGAGGGAGGAGTCCAGGATAAATGAGGGTGGAGACAGGCCAGAAGCACAGAGGCCAATTAGGACAATAGCACATCCAAAGTGGTAACTTGGGACTGGTAAAATGCTGGGGCTAAGGTGATGGGAAAGAGGAAGGCAGCACCCCATTTCTTGTATCACATTTTTATTCTTTGGATCTTCTCACATCCAAGCCCTGGAAAACTCGAAGCGGGACTTGAGTAGAATTACATAAATATGCTTCAATTAGTAGAGGTATCACCAGGGTTGGGAAAGGTCCACAGAGAGCTTATGCAGAATACAATTAGGAGAATGTGTCTGGGAATATTAGTCCAAGCCCAATCTCTCAATTATTTTTAATAATGGTTCAAAGATAGAACCCTTGATCAAATTTGTAGATGTTAAGAGAGTTGAAAGGAAAGTTAATACACTGAATGACAAAGACAAATTCCAAACAGATATCTAAAACATTCAGACACCAGCTAAATCTAGTGAGATAAAATTTAGTAGGGATAAATGTAAATTTCTGTAACTGGGTCCCCAAAGAACACATAATTAGAGAATGAGGGAAATCAAAGTTTGCAAACACATTGGTTGATGTCCCTCCTCACATAATTAATAGTTTCTTAGGCTGTTTTAAAGTAGATGTGTGATACTGGGATTATAGCTGCTGTAAAACCATTGGATCTTAGAGCATAACATAGCTCACATCTATTTCTTGCTCACTGAACTAACTAAGTCAGATAGTCCTCATCTTGTATGTATCCTCATCTTCTTCCCTGTGAGGATTTGTATTCTGGGGTTCTTCTATCTGGTGATTCAGTGATCCCCTGAGCTTTGGTTCCACTGTCATTTGAATCTAGCTTTAAGAAGAAAAAAGAAAGAATAGAGAGGGACCCTGGCTCATAAAAACCTTGGTCCAGAGGTATCACACATCATTTCCCCTCACATTTCAATAACAAGGGAGACTAAGAGGTACAAGCCCCTGGGAAACTGCTTTCTAGTGACAAATCTGACGTGTGGTAGTAAGAACACATGTATTGGTGAATTGTTGGCCATCTCTGGGTCCCTTGTGGCATCCAGAAAGGAGAGGATATTCTCAGCTCTGGTCAGTCCATGGATTAATATCAATAGGTTGATATCAATCAAAAGCATACCATTTTTAGGAGGAAAAACCGGCCAAATGAAACATTTGGAAGACTTTGAGTAGAAGATACAATGGAAAGATCTGCAAATGATTAGGAAAGAGAACAAGGAGGAACACAATGGCTATCTCCAGCCACTGGGAAACACCTTAAGTGTTGTTGGTCCCCAGGGTTCTATTTTTATGTCTCATTTTGTTCAAGATGTGTTTTATACCTGGGTGATCTTACCTACTCCTAAGCTCATAATTATTCATTCAGATTCTGGGTTCATTTCTCCAAACCCAGTCTTTCTCTGAGCTGCAGACTCATAGTAAGTTATTAACCATTCGTCTTAAATAGTATTTTAAAATTACATCAAACTCAACAAGCCCAGCTCAACTCACACTTGCATATCCAAATTTGTGTACTGACAATTGAGTACCAATGGTCAATCATTTACTCAAGCTAGAAGCCATGGAATGAATCATTTTTTGAGCTGATCCCTCGCCTGTATGCTCTGCATTTAATCATCTATCCAGATCTATCAATTTACTTCATGAATTTTTAAAGTACATCCACATTGCTACAGATTGAATTCAAGTTTGCATCATTTTTCACCTGACTTCCTTTACTTCCTAAATTATCTTGCTTTATTTCTCCACACTGCCACCAGTATGATCAACAGAAAGGAAAACCTAACTTACTCTTTAAAACCACTTCAAAAGTTTTAGGTATGATGTCGGAGTCTCTATTTGGTTCTTACCTATGCCTCTAGCCCCATTCCTCAACATTCATAGCTCATATTATTCCACTGTAGTTCCTTTCCCCCTTAATTATTTCTTTAGCTAACTCCTATTTGTCCTTATAAATCCACTTATGATTTCCCTTAACTTCTCAAATATGAGGTAATGTGTCTTTCTGAACATTCTGAGTATGTGTACATACATCTGTCTCCCCATTATAATATAGTTGTCTCTAAAGCCAGGATCGATCCATCCTTCCTTCCTTCCTTCCTTCCTTCCTTCCTTCCTTCCTTCCTTCCTTCCTTCCTTCCTTCCTTCCTTCCTTCCTGTCATACCCAATATCCAACATGAAACACATTTTCAACAAATGTCTGTTGACTTGACTTGTTATATGGAACCAAGAACAAGTTTTTGTCCCTGTTGTCTCACAGTATAAACCCTCAAAGCTACAGGATAACAGTGTTTGATTTTCACTAGGTGATTCTGAAAAAAAATGGGTAGGTGACTTTGGAAAGTAGTAGGCTTCCTCTGGTTTGTGACATTTAAGTTGAGGCTGGAATAGCCACTTGATCAGGTTCCACAATAGGGATTTAGGCAGCCCTTGAGGGACAGTTGCATTCACTCTGTAACATTCCAGTAATCCACAACATTCCAAGGTTTGATGACTCACATTCCATTTATTTATAAAACAATGCATTTCTATCACTTGAAATGTGTTGTGGGACATAATTAATGATCTTGAAAGACATTTTAAAGAGAAATAAATATAGAGATTTATTGGTAGAAAACTTGTCTGAATAAAATGATATATATTCCAATGAACTTTAGAAAACTTTTGATTCACACTTCCTTCACTTCTCTTTTCTTATGCCCATGCATATTCTAATAACTGGGCCAGAGGAGAGGTGCTAAAGACCCAGGGCTGAGATGCTTTAGTGAACAATTAGCATTCTGTTCTGTTGTTGCCTTCTGCACCTCAATTATCAACGTGTTTAGTTTCTCAGAAAAAATTTAAAAGATGAGAATTTGTCTAATCATCACTTGAGAGTCATGAACACATTCCTTTGAGGGCTTGAACTTCTGTGTTGTTTCTTACACCTATTTTAAAACAACTGGACCCTTCATTTTATAACCCCAGATTAAAATACCTTTGTTCAAACTTTTCTGGGACCAACTTTATTTTATTTTATTTTTTAAGACTAAAGACATATCAGTTTATTCAGAGTAATTTGCTCAGAGCAACTATGGAATATAGCAAGCTGATATATTCTCTCCTTTTTTTGGGGGGCAGCAAACCTCAGTGCTCAAGAACATATTCCACTTGGATGTCTTATCCCCAGTGTACTCAAGTCCAGTTAAAACAAAAAACAAACCAAAAAACCACACCTCCTTTATTCAAGTGTGTGATATTGGGAATTGAACCCAGCAGCACTCTCCTATTGAGCTACACCTCAGATCTTTTTATTTTTTGAAACAAGGATGCCCAAGCTGGTCTTGAACTTCTGATCCTCTTGCCTCAGTCTCCCAAATCATTGGGATTACAGGTGTGTGCCATTATACCTATCAAGAATGCACATTTTATTTCTGCTTGAGATACAAATATTCAGTTTGGATGATGAAATTAAAGACAATGGCTAACTCTTCCATTTGTTTCAATCAACTCCAATAAAAGAAAAGACTAAATAGAATCTAAACTGTTTCAATCCACTGGTATCCAGTTTATCAAATCAACAGCCTAGTACTTCTTTGGCAAAAGTGCTCCGATGGAGCTGGATATGATGGAGACGGTGAAAATGGAGAATTCAACATGTATATACTGTTCAGTCCGATGAGTCCAAATGTTCTCTAAAATTCCATATTTGGTCAGGTATGGGAGTGCGATCAGGGTACTGGCCCCTTTTTGTTTCACTGCTACTGATTCTGCTTTTCAGTCTTGCAGGGAGAGTAGGTTCAGACAGTCTGGGAACTGGTGGAGGTCAGGCCCTTGGCAGCTTGTTGGGCCAACCAGAACTTATATCTTTTGGTCCTGGGCTTTTCAAAGTTCACCACAGACATAGGAACTCTCACGGTGTCAAGCCCATTGACCGTCACCTCACACCAGTACTCGCCCGACCGTGTGATAGGCTCCTCTGGTAGTTTCAATGCATGAGGGGCAACCACGACACCAAGATTCTTAAGGAAGTGGCGGGCGACTATTTCAGAATTCAGCTCCCATTTGACATTGTTCTTCATTCCTACCTCCAAGTGACAGTTTCTCAAAAATTTCACTGTCGCCTCGCCTGCCTTAGTCTGGATCCTCTCTAATTTTCCTTCTTGTCTCAGCAATTTCTCTTCTTCGAACAGCTTTCGGTTTTCAGGGGATGCGTACACAGCGAGTCCTTGGGGAAGGAGCCGATTGCGACCCAAAGACTTGCTGATTGAAACCAGGTCACCGCGGACTCCAAGTTTCTCCACAGACCGCTGTGAGGATGAGCTCCAGGTTCTCCTTGGGCCGGTGTTTCGTGTCCTCCACCAGCTTGTAGACGCGGTGTCGCCGGTGCAGACGCGGCTTGCAACCCTCCCCGGCCAGCGGCACCTTCCACCAGCGCTCCACGACCACCGTGCCCCGACGGTGGGAGAGGCTGAGGTCTGGGACCAACTTTAGAAATGAGACAGCATTAGGCAGATAACATGAAAGCTTTATTTTCACAGGAAAGAGATCTCTCCTCTATTCATCTCCAAGGGCAAGCTTTGCCTTCAAATACTATAACTCAAGAAGTGTAACTTTTCATATATGGTCCATTAGCTTCCAGAGAACTGTATTCTCCAAATGTGCAGGAGGCTTGTTTTTTCTACCAGTCCTGAAGAATGCATATCCCATTTTGCTCACCGTGGGGTGAGTGTATCCACACCTCCCCTTGGAGAACAGTGCTGGGTTTCTCTGTGTAAGTTCTTGGAGGGGAGACACATGGCCTGTTATTTAAGAAAGAATTTGGTATAATGGGAAGAATATCTGGTATGGATTAGGTACCTGTATTTTAACTCTGAAGTTCTGGCTATTGTCATTTGGTGACCGTGTCCGCACCTACAAAATAAAAGTCACTGGACAAAATAGTCTCTAAATTCCTTGCTATTATAATATTCTGTTTCTTTCTGAGACTCCAATTATTATCTCCTTCGTGCCTGCTGTGGTACTTACTCTTGAGATTTGAGCAACTTAAATGACGGAAATGACCTAGAGCTGATATTTTAAGTTTAAATGCAGGATCTTCCCCTGCATTTTGCACAAGGAATATTTTTCAGGAATAATGGTGTCACCCTGTATCCCTCTTATGAACATCCCCTCCCTGCAATGCAATAATTGCTTATCATTAGCTATTATGTATTAATGATTGTTAAATGTAAGCATAGGACTCTCTCTGTTCATAAAAAATTACTACCAAATATTCCCTTCTTTCACTATTACCTTCATATTCCAATTTGTCCTATGAACTACTCAAATTTAATTTTCCTGCTGATTTCCTTTCATTTACCTGTTCAAAAGGTATCTGAACTCTTCATAGGTCATAGAATAAAATCCACATTCCTATATATACTACTCAGGGCTACATACTATGGCCCCAATCTGCCTTTCAAACTATCCCTGAACTTTCTTACACATAAAACCTTTGTTCCAAGCAGGCTGAGCACTTCCTTGTTGCTCTAGGATGGAGAGATGGGGTACTTTCCTACCTGCATGCCTTTGTTCATACTAGTTTCTGGGATCAGAACTCTTCTTCCTCCTCTTCCTCTTCCTCTTCTTTTCCTTTCTCCCGTGTTCTTCTTTTGCTATAAGAATATTTGCATTTTTAAAAGTCAGCTCACATTTATTCTTCTATCCACCCTGATCCCCATAGTCCTCAGTCATTATGTAGATACCATAACTAATTCACGATCAACATTTAGCTCTTGTTTTGTTTTGGTTAATTATTCTTGCTTGGCACTTAGCAAAAATGGCCTAAGAGTTCAGCTGTATTTTTGTTTGTTTGTTTGTTTGTTTGTTTCCCACCTAGATTCAGACCTTCTTGAAAGCAAGGACAGTTTTCCTGATATTTGGATCCTTGTTACTTATCAGTGCATATTCCCATATTATCTCATTCAAATCGCTGGTAGGGTATTGATTATGTGATTTAGTAGCTATTTATATTTGTGTCTTCACAGGTAAGCCGTGAGTTTCTTGATTAAAATAAACTGTATCTCTCTAGGGGCTGGCCCCAGTGCCTGGCATAAGGTAGACACTCAACAAATGTTTGTTGAAAGAATGAATGCAGTCAGACTTGGCTTTGTCAGACAGAGCTGACTCTGTAAGAAATTGATAAATTGAACTCCTTTATAATCAGTCTGAAACATAGAAGGCGATTGCCTCTGAAAATGGGATGCATCTCTTCTTTGTTTGCTGGCATTTTTTCTATTAGAAATGGAACTTGAGCAGATTAAATGGGACTCAGTCTTGAATCCACAAATGACACCAAGCCTGAAATGATACTGAGGTTGGAAGTGATTTAGTTCACTTGAATTTTATTTGGAGGATAATGGTTTCCTTCTGGGAAGAGAAATGTTAATGAAAAAATCGCCTCCCAACTACAACTCAGAAGTAATAGGAATCTGGCCAGAAATATGATCTTATGAAAACTCTCCAAGCAAAGCATCTTAGACCCATGTCTACGCCTTTGGATGGACATTCTCATGTTTGCCTTTCTCTGGTTTCCAGAGATCAGGGTAGAGAAAGGCGCCAGGGTAACAAGCCAAATAGGTCTATTATGGGATGTCATGCTCACTGGGCATGAGTGCTGTCTCCTAGGACATTTATAGCGTTTATTACTCAGCCCAACTTTAATAACACATGGACAAGCCTGGGGCAATTTGTAAAGGATCTGAGAGTTTTTTGTTATGAATGTCTGTATTATAAAATTAGTGAGTCTTGGGATTGGACTGGATTGGAAAGATGATCTCATCAAAGGGGCCTCAGCTCTACTGGAGAAGAGCTGTTTTTAATATCCCTAGCATTCTGGTCATGGGTAAAGGGGTTCCATTTACAAGGATAAGTTGGCAGATGGGGACTGTTAAGTGGTAAGCTAGAATATAAGCAAAAATGGAAATGCTATTTTGTCTTCCTCCTTGGAGTCATGGAGATAGGACCGTGTCAGGGCATTCAGTCATCCTTATTCTGCTGTGAGCCACGGAGAGGAGAATATAATGGAACCCAGTGATAAAAATCAACCAAGGAAGATTCCAAATCATTTAGATCAGTGCTTCTCAAACTTTAATGTTCAGCAAATCACCTGGAAATCTTGGTCAATTTCAAATTTGGATTGAGGAGGTCTGGGGTGGATCTAAGACTCTTTCCAACAAATTTCCAGGTGATGCTATTGCTACTGATGCATGAGACACAGCTTGAGTAGTAAGAATATAGAATCTACCTTACTAATCAGTCTTTTGGGAACAGAGGTTAATGTTAGTTATCCCCCAAAGAGAAGAAATAGACCCTTAGCTGACAATGTAGAAAAGTGTATCAAGTCATAGATCTTAAAACTGAGAAAGGCCTTCAAGGCCATCCAGTTAATTGTTTTCCAAATTTTTTTTTGTTGTTTTCTTTTTAAGGAAAATCCCATTTTAAAAGTAAAATTATATGCAGAACCTCAGTATATAAAACAGATCAAAGCTTTGATTAAATTAGAAACAGATTGCTTGGAGCCAATTCATTCTCCCATAACTCCCCTTCCTAGAACTTTAGAACTCTGAGTAACAACTATTAGAAAACTATTCACTTCATTCAGCACATTAGGAAATAATAAAAGTGAAACCCAAATCTGGGTATCCTGATTGACAGTCTGATGTTTCTTCCCAGTACCAAGGCATTCTAATTTACTTGTTATCTTGGCTTGGAAGCAAATGGTCATTGATTATGGACAAGCTCTGGCCATCTGGGCTCTGGTCAATCTCTGTCATAATACCTGGTGTGTGCTATGATACTTGTATGCAGAGCTAATAAAGTAGACTTGAGAAAATCACTTAACCTTTCTGGGCCTTGGATTTACAATGTGTACAGTGAAGAGATTTATAACCTTTCATAAAAATAACATCAGTGCAGTGTGTCAGGAATCTCAATAAACATCCATTGAGTATAGACCAAAGGAACATAGAGATGGTATCTCTTTTATCCACCATTGTAATCCCTACAGAACCCTTTCATGGTGCCTGCCATTAGCAAGTACTCAATAAATAGTTGCAAAAAAAAAAGTGCAAATGATGATAATACCAGAGGTAAGAAATCATTTCTTCAGCTTGTAGGTGTCACTGAAATTTAAGGAATCATTGGGATTATTATCATAATCAAATTAGTACTAAATGTTCTGTAGGGCTCTGTTGTCTCTGTCTCTGGCACTTGGTTGCTTCCGACATGTGGCAAACAATGGTGTGAATATATACGGCTTAGTAAGAATAGAAAACCACCTATTCTTTACAAGGGGATTACAAAGGAAGTTTTTTACATAATGTTCAGATTGGGAAAATGCATTTTAGACTGAGGGACAAAGGCAAGTACATTTTGGGTGGAAAATGAAGAAGGTAGTATACACTTTTTTTTTTTTTTCAAGTAGGACAAGGCGAGGGGATTTTGTTAGTGTTCCTTTGAGAAACTGGAAAAGACATCAAGAAATAAATGGAATCCTCAGACTATTTTTTTTTTTTAACTCTTTTGGTAACAGGTTAAAGTCTTTGTGAGTGAATCAATTGACTCACTTCTGGTCAAAGGCCAAGGTATTTTATATAAAGAAGTGCACAGCAGACAGGTGAAAACTCTCCTCCTCCTCATTGTCATGTTCATTTGTGTAGGAGAGCAAGACAATCGGGACATAATACATAGATGACTTGTCTGGGACTGGACTATGAACTAAGGCTCTGCAGCAAGCTTGTGTATTTTAAACAATGGCACCAGGATCCATTTATCTTTGTTTCTTATTTGCAAAGCCTGGGCTAAGAATATCCGCTGGTTCTGTTAGAGAAAAGAGACTTCCTGAGACATGATGTAATTTTTGCAAAAGGGAAACACATGTTGAGTCCTTCAGTACAAAACAATATTGAGGTGCTGATAGCTGGTGCTGTCAGTCACATGACAGGATACAGGCTATGGCCAGGAGATACCCAGGAGCCTTTGGAGCACAGTGGTTGGGGGAGGGCAAGGGAAGCAAAAGACTCCGAAGCTTTTCAAATATAGGTTTGTGAAATTCTTGAAGAAATGCTCTTCTGTTTTTAGTTATGATGATCAATGTATCACACATGTGCTCCTTTTTTCCAGACACGGAAGGTACTTGTGGTGTCTGTGTGAAGAAAAAATTGCAGCACATCCACAGTTTAAAATTCTGCAAAATGAGTGAGAATATTTTCAGCAGCATCGTTCTGAATGTCTTCTAATGTTGTGTGGCTATCAATGTAGTGGGTTTAGTACATTTGTACAATGGCTTAAAGGAGACCTTAGGTTTTACTTCCAGAAAAATTTATAAATTAGATCCAGATCCATAAGTGTCATGAGTGAGAAGTCAAGGTTTGACTAGGTAGGGGGAGATTTTCTAATATCATCATCATGGTCATCATCATCATCATATGATTCATGAATCCGTCATGAATCAATCGCTGCAGAGCGCTGTTAGGTGCTATGATAGTTCCAAAGTAAGGTCAAAGTAACTCAGTTCTCATCTTTGAAGTTATTATTCTATCAGGTGAAATGATACAAATATAACCACATAAAAAGGCATATAAGTCTTTGTTACTCAAAAAGTGGGAGCCTCTCAGCCACAGCATAAACAACACTTGAGTGCTCATAAAATCGCAGCTGTCAGTCTCCACTCCAGCTGACTCATGTACATTCCAGTTTGTGAAACATTCGTGTAAATAATGTATTATGGGAACATAAAAGAGGAAGAAATTACTTCTGGTAGGATGACAAAGCAAGACTTGTAAGAGAAATGAGGACCGAGATGGGCCTTGAGAAGAGCTGACGGGCAGTACGTGCGAAGACTGGAAAATGATCAAACAGTGGACTAGAGAAAAGGAATAATCCAATAAGCAGATGCATTATGAGGAAAGTGGGAAATGCATTTGAAAGATTGATTAGGAAAGGTACATGATCCCTCCATGTTTAGAAATAATGGTAGTGATATAATTTTTATGTTAAGAGTTTTATTTTTTACAAAATATATTCATTTCATTAAGTCCTATGGGATCCATGTGTGATAGGGCTATTTATATACTAATTCAGAGGTAGATTAATGAAAAGTTAAAGGCTTTTATGCTAGCTCCATGAAGCTATACTTCCATTGTCATCTTCTTTACATTATTTCATGCAAGATGTCTATAAACTTGGGTGTTTTCTCCCTTTTAGGTCACATAGAGTCCACTTTTTTTTTTTTTTTTTTACCTATGTCTATTTCTAAATTTTTCTAATTATCACTGGGTTTTGGCAATTTAATTATGATATAAATTTTTGTTTCTTAGATCTGGAAAAATTCCAGCCACTATTTCTTTAACTATTTTTGTTCTTCTTCTCTCCTTCTGATGCTCTGATTAAACATATTTCAGCTTGCATGATGCCACTACCCAGTTCACCAGTGTTTTCTCTGTTAGACATTTGTTTGGATGGTTTTTATTGCTACCTTGTCAAGTTTACCAATTTTTTAGTATGCTGCAATCCAGTATAATTTTCACCTCAGCTA